GGACTTGTCCACGGCGGTAAGGCATTCCAAATCGACGAAGTTGGCAAGAGCGTCGAATCTGTCAGCATTGAGAAGTTGAAATCGGTATGTACCTCTTCATTACTCACACGACGTGATACTAATGTTTATTATAGGCTGCAAAGGCTATTTTGGAGGGCAAAGCTACAGTTTCGGCAGTCGGTGATCTTTATGTTCTTCCTTATGCAGAGGAGCTTGGTCTTTCAGTGTAAAGCTAGATTTAAAGATGGGATAACGGGGTGTATTATCAAAAGCTCTTAGAGTGTATTGTAGATGTGATGCTTGCTGTGAATATATGATTGATTTCCTTTGATGCGGATGAACCAGATTGAATGCCTATCAAGTATAATCTTGAAATGTTAGACTAAATAAAGAAACTTTGCAGTCAGTCAATTCTGCTCTGAGCAGGCCGGCTCGGAATGTTAATATCACGTGATCTCGGAAATTTCTCCAATTCTTCCCGCGCTCCACGGAAGGTCAAAGGCACGGCAGCAACCTCTCTTCAAATTACATCGTCCCGATTCACATATCCCTCATCTTACAAAATGGCATTTGCGTGGAAAGCCTCAGGTCTCACGTACGTAGTCGCAGTTCCGCGGCCTCCTTGCAACTCTCTTGTTTGGCGCAATGGAGGGCATCGGGCGCCGCATCGGGGAAGACTTTTACTGACATATTTCTGGATTACAGCTACAACAAGTACTTGTCCGTCGCCGCACGAACTGTTCGAAGAAGTTTGAAAGATGACAAACGATTAGCCGCTGAGCGCAGAGGAGAGATGGAATTGAGATTCGCCAAGTGGAACGTAAGTGACTCCTCGAGTCGCGGGGATTAAATTGAGGGAGGTTGACTAACGAGGATTATTGGAACAGAACGGCAAGCAAGGCGAAATCAAGAACGTTGCGGAGGCCAATGCAGCATCAATGGCAGAGGCTACTTCATCTTCTTAAATATGGACACGGCACTTTTAAACGCCCCGGTGGGAGGAGGGGAAAGAGCTGTGCTAGAAACGAATGGCAGAGTGGACTTGTACATTTGTATCATTCGGGGCTATTGAGCCAAGGCAATTGAAAAGTCTCATTACTCTCGCAAATGCTCCGGTCTATTCTATATTCTGCATGATTCCATCTGGACGACTCGACATCTCCAAAGCAGTTTATATTAGCATCTTTCATACTTTCTCACATGAAATGTTTGAATCCCCCATAAATTCTGTTCGTGATGTATTAAGGTGACAATATTATATCGTCTGGTCTAGGTATTATACTCGTTCCTCATGCATGTCGTAGCAAATATTTAACCCATCATCCTAAAGTTGAAGATTATAAAGTAGCACAGAGACGACATTGATGTGTGTGAAACAAGATTAAATATTTAACGTCCATCATCATCATCATGAAATAGCCGCAATTCAATGTAAACAAACACTTTTCCAATGTTGAAAACTAAATTTCTGTATTCACTCATTGTCCTCTTGAATATGAAATACTGCACTCATGCCACTTTCCGTAACAAGCGAGAACTCTATCTTTCTCGCAACATTGAAACGAAGGTGACGAACATTCCTCAAAAATTATATTTCGATGCTTTGAGCGATCATTCACAGCAGCTACGGTAGAGCCATGCATAACAACGATGTAGCTGCTATCACGCAGCGTAAGTACCCTCTTTTATATGATAATACCTGTCGCTGACGGCCACTTGCAGAAGTATCAGACCTTGACATTGATCAAGGTCCCAGTGACCCAGCGGCAATGATAGCAGCGCTCAATCCGGAACTACGACCCGCTCCCAAGTTGTACAGCAAGGGGGTTAAGATTACGGATATTACTCAAATCTTCACAAATGCTGCTCACCGTGTGTTACCTATCACAAAACCGAAAGACTTTTGTGTAGATCACGTGCTAATGGCCTGCCATAGAGCTCGAAGTAGGAGACCTTGTTAAGGATCCGTTCTTCACATTGTTTGAGGCTGTTGCTGCTCTAGAGGTTTGTCTTTCATTTCTAGTGAATGGCTGAGCTGATCTTCGAGTACAGATCATGGATCCAAAAATGGATAGTGGCTATCTAGCTCCTGGAGAAACTATGGAGGATGATTACGATTTCGCTCAGGCGCTATTGCCAGAGGAAGTTTTGGGTATCATTGATCAGCTTCTTTGTCATGAGGTATATGAATGCCAGATACAACCAGAATCTTAGCAGTCTGACTTCGAACAGATGGCTTGGCACATGGGACACCCACTTGCTCAAACAATCTTTACCAGTTTATACATTGATCGAATCCTACATCCCTCACCCTTAAGTCTCAATGAGACCCGGTTTGACAGAGACGAGAGCTGTGCCGAAGATGAGCCTTTGATGCTGCAAGTTTTGAGGGCATACTGTCTAGGTCTGATCAAAACTTGTTGGTATGTCAATAATCGAGTGAGGTCAGAGCATTTTTACGAGGTATTTACCGCTTTCACGTATTGATTTCATCTCACACTAATACACGTTTAGGAGGAAGATTTTGCGACCCATACATTCCATAGAAATCTGCTCGAGGGTATAGAATATGATGAAATTCTTAGTTTCATGAAAGAGACTGTAGAATTGGTTTTGCAGGCTCAGAGCATATCCGAGGACATGAAAGAAGCTTTGTCGACTAGACTTAACTTTCGACAGGCTTTTTTGAAAACTGTTGATACAGTAGAGTCAAGATCTCAAGATGCGAAGGAGTCCTGGCGTGAGACGCATTCATTCATTTCTGATCTAACATCATCTAGCAAACTTGCAAAGCCCGTTCCGCAGTCATTTAGTGTGAAATTACAGAGGAAGCTTGCGAGTACGGTTCCGCCACGTCCAATTGTTGTAGTGGGACAGGAGAGTGCCTACGAACACTTGGAGAGAATGTGTAAGGATGGTGAAATTGCAGTTGATATACTTGATTATACAGATAGTCACAGTCTCATGGTAAGTGCAATATCACCTATGAGAATTATCTACTCTTTGGCTGATGATACATATGTAAGACTTTTGTTTCATTATTTCAAGCACGAAAGCCTCAACCATCCGTGTATATTCGAACTTTACTCCAGTATTACATGTTTGCAGACATGATAATACTGGGTAAAATGTCCATCCGAGAAGTTCTCGATGATGATCTAGCTAGTCTTACCTTACCCGCAAACCAGCTTCTAGATCGTATCAACGATGAAGTTGAAGTTACTCATGATCCAAGATTCCACATGGCTCAAAGAATGGAGTTATTTAGATCACGCGCGGCCAACACATACATAGATATCCTTCGGACCATGTGTCAAAGCCGGTGTCGCATACGTCGAACACTCTGTCACACAATCGTTGACTGGGATAATCTCCAACTTGATGGTGAGGAGATCGATCAGGAACTGAGAGAATTTACAAAAGAAAAGCCATTCATAGATAAAACCTTATCACATGATCCAATTTACGCTTTTCCCCTATCATCATGGGCGTACTATTACAAGCTCCGCCAAATGGAATGGATAGTACAGTTAGGCTTTGAACTCCAAGTTTACCAGCCAGATGAGTTATCAGGGATGTATTTTTACCTTAATCATCTTTGTAAGACGAGAAGTCGTCATCTTGAGCGTATCCGAAGCGAGGTCATGCGATCCTACTCTGCACGTCGCAATGAAACGCAGCTTGATCCTACTCAAAGAGAGGAATTTACCAATGCAATTTCATTCATCAACTTCTCCATGTTAGAAGTTACCTCGACGTATGGCTTCGCAGACGCACTATCTTCGTTGTTTGAAGCACTTCGCCGTTTGGATCTTATACCCATACCTCCGAGACCATACGGCAACGATGTAATGCGTTACGAAGTCCGCATGAAACCATTTTCTACGATTGGCCTTCCTGCACCCTTGTCGTTTGAATCTTTCACATACAACGTCACGCAGCCCAATGAGACCGCTCTCGATCTACTTTTGATTGCTGGAGAAGCCACTGCTGCTGCTAAGAAAGGATTCGAGATCCTGAGTAAACTCAATCCTAAAGATGCTTATTGTCGTGGATCTCACGAGAGTTGGCTGAAAGATATTAAGGACTGTTTGAAAGCGTGTATCTTTACTGGAATCTCGATTGCAGCGGTCAAAAAGGCCATCGAAGGTGCAGGCAAGGACAATAAAGTGAAGATCCAGGTGGAGATACCCACAACAGGTAAAGGATATCATGATTGGTGGATCGTGCCTAAAATTCTCCCCGATCCGAAAGGTAATGATCAGTGATTGATTTTCATGCTTCGGGGACTCAGACTCTACTTGTCTGGAAGGGTTCAGAACGTCAGCCATGGACTTCGGATGCCTCTCGAAAACCCCTTGGGAAGGCGTCTGACGGATGCTCATCGGGCTTGTCAAGATGCAAACCTTATTACATATTACGCAGACGCATCGGACTGAACTTCATCCTCCGCGTCTCGTCTCTTCTCTCCTCTCTTCTCAAGAGGTTCAGATAGTCTGAGTAAATTAGACTGTGTGACACAGGAATTAGATAGACAATTTATGCATATGACTTCCCAAAATTTTGTAGCCCAAGCACCATGACGAAATCTCACATCTCTGCATCAACTTGATCCATCTAGTAACATCATTCCACAACGTCGAAAATGTTACATAGAAAACGTCACACCACACCAAGACAAAATTGGATAGAGACCCTGACTTAAACAATCGAAATCTAATTGAGATTTCGATTCCGATGACTTCCCCAATTTCGATTGCCATAATTACAAACCAATCGCGACCCGCGAGTCTGAAGCAACAATTTTCAAAGATCACATCACGACCCCTTTTCCCTCTCCACCAATCCCACCCCCCCCTCCTCCCCAAACTCCCACCTCACCATTGGAAAAAATTGGAAAACAAAAACCATTCTGTTGCACATCTAAAATCTCGTCGGGCAACTCGCCGACAAAAGCCATTTTTCGATGATAATATCTTTTCTCGGCACTTTACTCTCTCTCATGCATTTTTCAGGCGGGAAAGGGGCATATCGTTCGATGGCCTGTTTCGATGGGGGGTCGAGTGACGGACGCGGACGGAGCGCCGATATCCATGTTCCAAGCGACGATGCGGATGTCCATTTTTCGCCGCGGGTATTGCTTTGTTGGCTTTATGTTCGTTCCATTGGTAATAACCTCGTGCTGTACTAAATTTTGTCATGGTCTTGCTTATGCATTGTGGTATGTCATCGTATGGTCCCTGATTTGGCTCAGGGTCTGTGGTGGTGACATGATCACTTTCAGAGACATCATGGGAAATGAGAATCATGATTTTATTATTTGTTTCAAATTGAGCTTTCAGCCATCTCTATCAGCACAAAGAGAAAACTTTTGGCAATCAAATGGTGGAGATCTTGATCGGGTCCGCCATCCATCCTATCACATAAGAAGCTGAAAGGCCACGAATGATTACTGTATGGTGCCAATTTTGCATCGGTTGAGTATGACGAAGAGTTTTAAGAAATGTACATATATGCATTTGTGATATATAATACTAATCAACTTTTGTTCAGACCCATAACTTCGTATCGTATAAAAGAGGGGGAGGGAGGGTATACGCAAAAGTCCCAACCAAAGAGAATCGCTCGATATTCATCCTTAATCAATCTACAACCCCAATCTTAGACATCTCTATCCATATATCCATAAAATGCTGCCAAGTTGTAAATGCCAATTGCCAACTTGTTCTAAACTTTCAAAGCCCGTATTTGACCGTCTTTCTTGCCCCCAATAATGCATACGGAATATTCAGATCATGAACTCGTTCTCTCATCCAATAACCCGTCAAAAATGCAGATTCACGCTACCATGCAAATAATTTCTCCCTATGATGCTCCTATCTATGCACACTACCACCAACTCACATGTGTCAAATTCAGCGTCTTGGACCTGAGTTCACAAGTTGTCGTTGTTTGTTCACCCAACTTCTTGGAGCATCTTGTCTACGCTGCAGCACCACATGATTACTTTGTAATCTGTTCGTAAGATCATACCAGGCAGTGGCTATCAGGGTGTTCTCGCGAGTAAGGTTCTTCACCAAAACATCATTTGCAGCCTTCACACAAGTTGAATCAGTTTTCTGCACACACATAGTTCACATAAATGATAATATGACTCTCAATATGGACACAATCATTGATTGGAATAAGAGGTATGATATTATTTATGATGGTGGTTGTGAGAATAAAAAGTCGATACGGTACCTTTTGCGCTTCTGGGTCTTCTGCCAGGACGAGTCTTCGTTGAAGCTCTTGTATGGTCGATTCTTTCTTTTGGAGTTGCTGGAAATTATATTAGTCGATGCCTTTAGATTATTTTGATAGAAGTTGAGAAGGTGATGGATTTGTTTGAGAGAAAGACGACGATGGAGGTTGTGCTACTGGCAATACACCAAATGCTGCCTGCTCTCTAGCAAGTTCTTCATCGTGCTGATCATAACCTGGAGCGCTTGACGCAGGTTCCTTGAGCTTTTTATTACCGAACAACGTTCCGATTCGCTTGATTGCGGATTTCTTTTTTGGTGAAGTTGGTCTTGATGTAGAAATATTGTCCTCTTGACTTACCTCTTTCAATGCATCAAGAGCGGTTGCAGGCTCGGAGTCTTTGCCTGTACCTTCGATAGAACCTGATGGGTGTTGGAAGATAGTCTTCAGTTGTTCCGAGAGTTTATCTTTGGATTTTAACGCTGCAAGAAGGTGAGACTGTTGGTCAACGAATTCTGTTCTCAAATCATTATGCTGTGCTTGGAGAAGCGCCAAATCCTTCTCATATGATGAGGCTACTAATTCATTGGCCTCCTTGAGCTGTTCCAATGCTGTGATTTCATCGGAATCCATAGCACTCACTATCTTTAGGTTAGCTGATGTTACACGCATACTAGAAGTTTGATTACTCACAATCTGCCCGTGCTCTTAACAAATCTCGCTCGCTGCTTGTAAGTTTGGCGGTAAGCTCGTTTATCGCGTGATTCAATCTCTCGATCTCCTTTGTGGCGTCGCGGTATAGTGATTGTCCAGAGGACTTCGCTCGTTCTCTGTGAAAATCATCGAGTGTCAGTTGAAAAGGTCCAATGTTCATCATTTTGTCGACTGCTATAACTAACGCTTCGTCTGTTGGGAGGAAAGATCTGTCGCCCATGATAGTTGAAATTTGATCCTGAGAGATGGCGTGAGCCTCTTTCAACTCTTGGGTCTTCTCGCGAAGTCTCCGGATTTCCATTTCCGCTTTCTGCAGCTCAGCTCGAAGTTCTGCATTAGCTTTACCACCTTCATTGCTTTTAAGAACCTGTAACTCCGCTTTCAGTCTGGATATTTCAAGCGATGGGTTCGGTTCGTTTGGACTATCACTTCGATTAAGCTCATCTTCAAGACTGAAACCACCACCCGACGGCTCTTCTGGCGAATGTGAGTCTACGCGCTCTTGAAGTTCGTTGATATACTTTTCATCATGTCGTTGCCTTTCAAGATGAAGTTCTATCTCCTCCATTCGCGACCTAAGTTCTTCTTCTAAAGCCATACCCTTATTTTTAAGGTCGGTTATGGTATTCTCTTGTCCTTCGAGCACTTTCATATATTCTCTGCGAGTTGTTTTGAGCAATTCATTTTCCATATGAACTTTGTCATAATCCTTTTGGTTTTCTTGTAGCACATCCAATTGCTCACGCAGTCTTGCGTTTTCCTTTTCGATAGCGTTTTGCTGGGCAAGTTTCTTTTCATAATGTTCGACCTTGTTTGCTCTCTTCAACAAAGCTGAATTCTCGACTTCGAGTTCCTTCAATCTGTCTTGAGTCTCCAAATCTCGGGTGTTTTTAATCGATACCAACTCTTTGTTCTTTAGTTCTCTATTTACCCGAGCGTCTTCAAGCTGCTGTTCCTGGTTGGCAATTAATTGTTCCGAATCTTCAAGTCTCTTTTCGAGTCTTGAAATATACTCGCTTTTGCCTCCGTGATTAACCGTTTCTTGTAGCTGTTTGATTAGTCGGTCTTGTTCCTTAGTCTCGTCTAGTAGATGATCACGGCTTTCTGATAGATTTTCCAAACGTGTGATCAGGTCAGCATTACGTTTCTTCAATGCTGCATGTTCCATGGCTACGGCAGAATACTTTTCCTCAAGATCCAGGGCGTCATATGGCTTGGCGATGCGATGAGCCTCTAAGTCCGGTAAAGCGATTGAGAGATCCTGCTCTATCTACGTAGCACCATGTTCAGCGGCATCCAATAACCCATACGAACAAATTAACTCACTGTGGCTACATGGGTCGCGATCACTGATTGCATATCATGGCTTAGCTTCGTTCGGACACGATCGATATATCTCAACTGATTAGGACCTTTCAAGGCGACCAACAGGAATATGGTTATAAGCTGGAATACCCTGTTAGTTAAGGCGATGTTGTCTCTTGTTCTCACGTTTCCTACTACCTTCGTCGATTCGGTGGGATCCGAGTATTGTGCCAAAGCATTGAAGTCGATTGGATATTCGACAACCGCTGCCTTCACCCAATTATCACAGTGCTCATGAGCATATTTCAGAAGATTTTTGTAAACGGCCTCCAAGGTCTGTTTGGCGGAAATCCATTTTGTAGAACTCGTTGTTTTCGAAATATCCTTAATGGCATATGCGGGGTCGAAGTCCTCTAGATCAAACTAAATTAGCATCCGCATCGAGGACCTGTGTAAGATGGTCGATCATCTAGAACGTACCCAGCATATCAGAAAATATAAGGCCATCAGTCAAGTCTTCTATTGACTTGACCTTGTTCAACACGGCAGGAAAGGTCTTGATCTAATCGCGAGTAGATGTTAGTAGTGAAAGAGGAGCGCGTGAAGAATAGCGTTGAATCGCATACCCATGCCAATAGGACTGCCCTTGTGGTGTCATCGGGAGGCTCCAGACTGGAGGGCATTTTTCCTGCGTTGACAGAAACCCGTTATGTTGTGGATTTCGGCGGTGTAAGGAGGTGCGAAGAAGTTGAGTGAGGTTTGAAGTCTTATCGTGCGTGCAGGTGCAGATGCAGGTGCACGTAAATTTCCAGATTACACGAAATTGTATTTTTAGTGATGGACCCTGTGAGACTGGAGACTGAAGACTGGAGACTGGAGGCTGGGAGCTGTGGGATTTGGGATGGAAAGATTTTGCTTTGTGATGGTCCTATGTAGTGTTAAGGTTTGTGTGCAATTGAGAAAGGAAAAGCTTGCAACTGGATTCTCGCAATGGTTTTATGCCACTTATTTCCCATGTTTCATTGTCTCCAAGTACACTTTTATTCAATTGCACTTTCTTCTTGTGTTGTGAAGCTAAAAGTCCAGGCTCGAGTCCCCCCTGTTGAACATCTCTTTGACTGTGGGGTCACTCAACAGCAACAATCGATTATTTTGCGGGGGAATACATACAAAGGAAAAGGAAGTCTTCAAAGGATGCTGAGTATATGAGTCGAGAAGAGCATGGGTAGAAGTCCGTTTGCAGCTACATACACATCAGAGGACAAGAAGTTTGGAGACATCTGAATATTTCCGCATGTACTCTAGCCCGTGAAAGTATTGGTTGAATTGTACCTAGGTAACTGGGGAAGTTTGCACAATTGACCGTGGCCGAAGATCTGAGCAATTGATAAGTATGTAGATAGATGGGAGAGTTTGATCCAGTCAAAATCAAGATAGAAAGTCTTCGTGAATTTTCACTACAAAAGAGAAATTATATGTGATACAGTCAGACACCCATATTGCACCGAGTTTTTTGATTAGACAGCATTTGATTCATCCATTTCACGTTCAGCTTGTCCGAAAATGAACCTCCTGAATCCTCATGTTGTAAAACGGTATGTAAGTAAGAGATTATTAGATTTCTTTCTTCTGTACTGACACTCGAGTTGGCTGCCCTGATTCTCAAGGACGCTGATGTTGTCCGGCCGATTACCGTTCTCCCAAATCATTCTATATAAAAAAGTCCCAAGACCATTTCGACTCCATTTCCCTAATGCCTTCCATATACACTTGATCTTATTGACGAGGAACCACCAAACTCCTCGATAATACCCATATCCCTTATGAACGTCATGTATACACCATCGATGGGTAGAATTTCCTGAATGCGCCCATTTCCAATTTCATATCGTGTCGTCATCAAATTCTGTTCTTAGTTGTTGGCATTTACAATCTGATCCTCTTCGATAACGGCATGATAATCGTTTCCCCATGCCTGAACCGTAACAAGGACTTGAGCTGGAGCTTTGGCAGCGAAGCCTCTGTTGAACAAATTAGATACGATCATAGACAATGGACAATAAGCTTACTTGATGAGGTTGTATTCGTGTGTAATAGTACCTCCAGCCTTTTTGATCGCATCCATCGCTTTCTGTACTACATCGTTTGGAGTATCGTCCGGATACGAAACAATTACTGATTTTTGAGGTGCTGCTGTACTCAACCCAGGAATTGCAAATAGGGAAATAGTGAGTAGAGCGAGACTCGTAAGTTTTGTAGCGAATAACATGTTGATAAAAACTTGGAATCTTCTTGTAATATTGCTGCTATTCGACTGACTGTTGATTCAACGTTGATCTAATGATTACAATCAGAAGACAAAGAACGTGGATATGGGGTGAGGACATACGGGAATGGATGTATGACGATAGGTATGGATCGATTAGGTGTGGCGCTAGCGGACCGATACCTAGCCACTCTACTCGTAGCGTCCACGGGTGATTACCTAAGTAATTGATTGCAGCTGGAGGTCTCTCTTAGTGCCTCAGCCATTCACTAGTTCAATTTGCCTATAAACTTTCAGGTCAGTAGCGTCAGTGCAAGACAATTAATAATAAATCAACATCGTCGCGTTTCTGCAAACAAACGGCTTTGATATTCAACTTCAAAGCAACCTGAATCCGCGAACACATATCAAGAATACAACCAATTCGAACCTCGACATTATCTGCAAGGGCGACGTCGACGGAACTAATTATAAAGTGCGTGAGATCTGACTTGGGGATTTGGATAGGAGGACAAAGGCGTGGGGCATCAAGCTATCTATAAGGACTGGGCCTCAAAGGAAGAGAAAATTGAATACAGAGAGTTTGAGGGTTACAAAGGGTTTTCAGAGAATTTGCCAATCATCAAATACACACTTCTAGTTCTTCTCGAGTTGAATACTTTTGCATGGTACTAGTTAGCTGTTGTTTAAAAGCTCCTTCTTGTTTAATCGAGTCGTGGAGCTTGGTGGTTTTTCACGACAAAGACCTTTTTTTTCTGTGGCTGTCTTTCTTCATCATCAAGATCATCATTACAAGTCTGCGCACCTTTGCAACCTTCTGCGGCTTCCCTTATAGCCCATCATGTCATTTGGAGTCCCTTCTGATGAGGTAGCGGAGGACTACAAAAGAGCCCTTGAAGATTTGACTATGAATTCGAGATATGAGATCAGCAATCTAACCGTTATAGCAAAAGAAAACACCGAGCATGCTTTGGCCATTTCAGAGGCATTGAAGAACCATATAAAGCAGGTAGGATAAATATTCTCATTTCGTAATGCTAGTAGAGTCTAGTAGCTATAGTCGTGCTTTGCTTTGTGCCTACCTTTTGCTTCCATTACTTACGAATTAATGACAGACTTCTCCGCAAAAGAAACTACCTGCTTTCTACGTCCTCGATTCTGTAGTCAAGAATGTTGGAACACCTTATACCCTCTTCTTCGGTCGACAACTTTATTCAACTTTCATGGAGGCGTATGCTTTGGTTTCTCATGATGTGCGAAGAAAAATGGATGAGATGCTGAAAACTTGGAAAGAGCCTGTGCCTGGCTCTATAGATACACGTCCTGTATTTCCTCCAGAAGTAACTCGCCCCATCGAAAATGCTCTCATAAAGGCTAGAACCTCAGCTCTCCAACAAGAGCAATTGAGAAGTCAACAGCAGTTAATGAATCGGGGTCGATCTGCCGTAGGTCAGGCTCCCTATCGTAACACACCAACTCCTCCAAATCAATCTCGTCAACCTCTTTATCCACCTCCCGGTCATTCTGGATACCCTCAACAATACCCTCCTCCAGCAAATGGCCAACAGTATAACAACCAGGCCAACGGTCATCTGCAGCTTGGACTTCCTCAGGTATGTGAAGCATTCTAACACTCCTGCTTGATACTGATATTCTCAAGCGACCACCTCCAACTCAATATTCTCAACAGCCAGGCAGCTCGGCATCCTGGCAGCAGTCGCAGCCTCAAGGTTATCAGCCACCAGAGGCAAGCGTAGATATGTTGAATAGGGATATCTCCAATCTCATTGCTTCTTCAAAGGCAGAATTTGCCCAGAGTCCATATGATAGTAGCATACAAACAAGACTGAAAGCCTTGCTTGATTTGCAGACCATTCTACAAACTCAAAGGCTTCCACCTGATCAAATAGCAATGATAAAAGAACAAGTTGCACAACTATCTGGGCCTCCCCAGCCAGCCCCTAAAATTCCATCTCCTAGGCCAGCACCTGTAGCTACGCCAACACCCCAACCTCAGCCGCAGCCAACCTTGAGCTCTTTGCTAGGCCCTGGTGGACTGGCTGCTCTATTAGCGCGGCAATCTGCAACACCACAAATTCCCACGCCCCCTCCCCCTCAAGCTACTATCGCAATTCCGTCGCCTCAACCACAACTTGCACTACCTCTACAGCTACCCTTTCAACCAGCTTCCTCAACCCCTGTTTTGGCATCTGTTCCAAAACCTGCAGCTGATCCTAACTCATTATTGGAAAGACTTCGAGCTGCTGGTATGCTACCTGGAATACCAGCAGCGTCAAGCACACCCACTCAACCACCAAGTGCTTTAGGCGGCGCTAACCCTCCCGGCTTCCCTCCATCTCTACCCTTCATAAGTGCGCCCCCCGTGTCAAGAACGCCACTTCTAGAAATTCCCAATGACGTCGTTCTAAAGCCAGCGTCATTGAAAATGTAAGGATTTTTGCGCGATTCATACTTTACTCTCCTGCTAACAATCACAGGTTTCGCCCGCATCTTATCTCCAATCTCTACGAAAAGCTTGGCGCGCCATGTACACAATGTGGACGACGTTTCCAATCGGACACAGAAGGCCGAAAAAAGAAAGCTGCCCATATGGATTGGCACTTCCGCGTTCATCAAAGAATGGCTGAGGCTGAGAAGAGGGGCCAACATCGAAGTTGGTATGTTGATGAATTGGTAAGTAATCATGCCACTGTTCCACTTCCAGAAGCTAATACCTTAAAGGACTGGATAAAATGGCGCGAACCAGAAGATGATCAGGTGAATGATGCATCTGATACTACTCAAGGTGTTGCTGGCTCATCTTCGGCTACGAATTCTAAGCCAAAGCTTCAATATCTAGCGGTGCCAGACGATCCTGCTCTTGCTGGAAGTGTTTGTCCTATATGCCAAGAGAAATTTGAGATGAAATGGCTAGATGATGCGCAAGAGTTTGTATGGATGGATGCTAAGAAAGTGGGCGATCGTATTTATCATGCTAGTTGTTATGCCGAAGCCACGAAAGACAGAGGCACGCCTGAGCCAACGGTTCTGGGCAAGCGGAAAGCGGAGGTGGGTTTCATGTCTTATCCTCTTTAAATTATTATTATTGATAATACTAACTCGCTGTAGGATCAGGAACCTCACTTACGGACAAAGATCAAAACGGAGCCTTAGTCAATGTACTTTTTTTTTGAACCAGCCACAGGCGTAAAATAGGGATTGCAGTGGATTTCTTGCATTAGAAAAGATTAGATCGATGCATCTGCATAAAGAGAGTGTTAGGCGGAAGATTGGCTTACGAAAAGGAATAGCACGCGAGTTATGTGCTTCAGATACCATACATTTGCTATTCGCAGACGAAATCAATATGAAGATGATTTCTAGACGACATTACCAAATCATCATGTTCAGATGTATTTATGTGATACTGTGTTTGTCGCTTTTGAATGCCTAGCAGATTGTGGTATAAAGATGACAATGTTCAACAACATGTTAACACACACTTCAATTTTATCTATAACTTCTTTTTATCTCTTCTCTTTTCCCTCCCCCATTTCACGGCTTACCTACCAACAATCCACCATAGCTGTAAAACCTATAATTTCTAACTACATCTCTTCCTCATGAGTCAAACTTACGCGTTTTGTGATGATATCTGCATTCAATTATAGAACTTAGAAGGTAAGATCTTGTTATCCTCTACGTAGATCATGAGAGCTCGCTATACATATCCATTGAAGCGAAGGACTGGTGAGGGCCAGCGAAGAGCCAATCAAGGATTTCCGAGGTTGGGCAGGCTATGAAGCTGTGCCGTTGGGGTGCACCTACCCGCGCGTTTCGGACTGAGCTATTCGATAGAAGTCTCGGTTGCAATAAACATTGTCACGAACATGGAAGGGATAAACTACTCATTCAACAGAATTTGGTGATGTACAGACTCATGCCTCGATACTGAAAACAAACGGAGTTAATGAAAAGATAAATAACCCATCTAAACAGGGAGCCAATGTACTGTTAGTTAGAATCGATTTTTCATACGAGTCTAACACTGTGGTGAAGAGATATGGTCAACATTACTACTGAATTCGTTACATTAAACTTCGCCTACAACAATCACCTTCTTGTGAGCTTCGAAATCCAAAGTTTTCTCCTTACACAATAGGCTTCAGATGTCAATGAAAGTAGTTATAAGTATCGCGATCCGAACTCCAAATAACACCCGCAGACATACATCGTTAAAATCCTTACAACCCACTCGTCTTCAACCAGTCGCCGAAACTTTGGAGTCCTGGATGCTCCTTTCTCAGAGCCTTGATATCAGCTGCATAACCCCTTTCTTCGAACCAACTGAACATCAATCCGACATCTTTAATCGCCCAGAGAAGAGTAGATCCGACGAAATTGAATGTTCTCGGGATATCCTTTCCAAGTCTCGATTCAAATATTTCATTTGCTTCTCCGAAAGTTAATTCATCGCCCGCTAGACTGATGGCGCGTCCAGTGTACTCCTTCGGGTTGAGCAATGCCTGAGCCGCAAAGTATCCAATATCTGCAGTCGCGACGAGCTGGAGTTTGGTCGTCGGAGCTAAAGAAGCACACCAAGCGGTTGGGAAAATCTTGCCTGCGAATCCAGAGGCGAAGTTCTCCATAAACGCGACAGGTCGCAGAATGGTCCATGACATTTGGGTCCCTGCACTTTTCTCCTTCAAATATTTCTCGATATTGGCTTTGCTGATGAAATGAGGAATATCCGTCGGATCATTGTCGGAATCCTCGCCGTGACGATCCACAGATGTGAATACGAAATGTTCTACGCCATGCTTGATGGACGCGTCGATAAGAGCTATGCCTTGCTCTTCTTCGCTCGCGCCGGCATTACCAAACCCCATGCTGGGCATGGTAACGCAAAAGACGCTCTTGATGGGCTGAGGAGCCGCTTCGAAAATTGCAGGACAGTCATTAAGATCGCCCTGGAGAAGTCTGATCTTGTCGGATTTCTTGGCTAATTTCTCTGCTGCTGGTGATTCGACGTTGCGAGTCAGAGCAAATATGGTAACATCAGACGATCCAGTAGCAGAGAGAAGAGCATCGATTGCTGCTCCCCCTTGTTTACCTGTCGCTCCCGTGATGAGAAAAGTGTTTGTCATTATTCCGATTTACTGGCTTATTGACTTGATTTAGATATTTCACCAAGAGTGTTGTTGATGTTCAAAGATTTGGTTGTTTGTTTTCATGCATATTTCTTTGTTGTTCCCTAGTCTGGTTGCTTTGGTATGCTTTGTGTCACAAATGTAGTATGACGATCAATCAGAGTTCTGGACAGCCACTAGCTCACGAACTAGTGCACCAGTGATGTATCATACTTATCTCTATCATAAAAACATCAGATTAACTTACTCGTACTTTTAAGGTCCTGATGGATTCAACTATGTTCAACCAAGTTGTCTCCTTATCGGACACAGTCGACGTAGCTCTGATGTTCATCGGTATACCAATATCAAGTACACACATGAGCCGAGACATCACAAATGCACTGCGACATTCTTCCCCCGTCCCAGATGCGGGACATCACGTGTGAAACATCTTTGGAGATCAAAATGGTTATTGGGTAGCCACTCATAGCTATTATTTCAGCTCAAATCCGATGGCTTGCAGAGAGGCTTTGCGTCAAACTTGGCATTAATTAGATCAGAAGGCAGAAATATATCTGTTACTATTTTAAATTTGATGGCTTTGGGACTCGCAAATAGCCATCCTTTCTCCTTTCTAAGATGAAAGATATGCGCCTTTTTAGTGAAGGCGCCGAGATTCGTTGCGGTCTGCCGCCGAGAGGCTATCTGAATATCTTAAGAGAGTATCATGGAGCAGTCAAGTCTGAGCGGTTGTCTACTTCTTGAATCTCATTTCAGAAATTGAAAGAGAGCTTTCAGCTCAGTATGCCACTAACATCCTCCATCGCGTGTTGTCATTTGCTGTCACAAATGAAGTCTCCGCGCTTTGATATCACATTAATCGACGTTGGTGAAGGTTGCCGCCCAGTTTGAATCAACGGCGTTGAGTCCCTACTCCCTTCATTTTATAATCGGGTACGCCCAGAACACATCTTATTAATAGAGGCTCAACACATACGAGAATCCTTGTCAAAGAGAACTGATTTGCTGTAATATCTCAGCCGTGTTTTCAAACTTATGATGCTTCGCCTCCACTTTTGTAGCTTCCCGTGAACGACAATTTTGATAGCAGGCATAGCATACATTATCTTGGAGGCTTGATACAAGGAGTTGTATCTCATATAAGTAGGCAGGCTCTTCTTACTTTGACGATATCCTTTGAAGTCGTTATTAGATATCTTATTCTATCGTTTTATATCCCCAAAATCCTATTCATCACTACCTTCGCCTGAAATCACTGGAGCTTTTCTACATAATCTCGAAATGTATTTGACCACTTTCATCGCCGCTTCCATTCTGGTAGCTTATGCTTCCGCAAAAGCCTCAGAGGCTATGCCTTACAAGTTAGCAGCTAAATCCCTCAACCCATTTGGTAATCAAGCATATGGTCTCACCAAGCGACAATCGGGTTATCAACCCTCTCAAACTTTTTGCAGTGGCTACGGCACTTGTGCAGAGGCATGTGGAACAGGTTATGAAACTTGTCCTTCAACTGATGGAGATGTTCACTGTTTCGACCCGACTGTTAAGGAAACTTGTTGTCCAACTGGAACTGGCGGTATGTCTTCTCTTTAGCTTACAGATGTCCATCTTTCTTACATCCCCGCACAAAACTAACTTGAAAAAGACTCCTGCTCCGAAGGCTACTATTGCACTCAGGCCACAGATCTAACTGTCTGGTGCTGTCCAGATGGCATGGATCTTACCGCCTGCGCAGCAATCTACTCTCTAACCGGTGTTCTCCAATCCGTCACGCCTTCGTCTGTCGCATCTGTCAGTGCCTCAAATATCCCAACCACACCTGCAAGTGTTACAACTAGCGAGATTGTCAGTCTTCCAGCCTACACAACACCTACTACGCCACCGGTAGCCTCGCTTACCGCAACGAAGACAAGTGGGGGAAGCAATGCTACGTTTACGGGAAGTAGCACAGCGACGGCTACACTGTCTGTCTTTACCGGGATGGCTGGCAAGATGGAGAAGTGGGTTGGAGGCGGTGTATTGGTTGCGGCGGTGGGAATGGGCTTGTTTTTGTAAAGCTCGATCAGTGCATTGTGCCCGGTTTCCGGAATGAGCTTCAGGATGAGTGCGAAAATAAGAGCTGGCGGGACTCTCTCTACAAAGGGTCAAAATTCGGTTTGTTGGATATAATATAATTTGATGAATGGTATTGATGGAAATAGTGATGGCTGAGGTACTTTCGACTGGATGATAATGTTTTATAGGATATGTTAGATTGTTGGACAGAAAGATACTGTTTCTACTTATGGAAGTTTGCTCTCTTTCTCCTTGGCTGTGATATCAGAAATAAACATTCTTTTCAATGTTCGATAACTATTTAAATACTAATAAATCCATGTATGATAAAAAATTTCTGAAAGCTCTTTTACTCATTATCTATTCTATATAATTTGCATTTCAAGATAAATTAAAACGTAAAATCACTATGAAAACTGGAACATGTCTATTTTCAACAGATGATTTGAATATAGTGATTTTGTCATCTCGTCTTTTCCGTCCTGCTAAAGAGATCCTAGTCTACCAATTTTTAATTCTCCCATAGAACTTCTTCTATACCCCTTCCCAACTCCCCATTCTCCTTCTTCGTTTTCTCCAGCTCTCAAAAATATCTCACAGATATGAACCTTCAGACAAATTTCCCCCAAAATCCCCGCCCCCATCTCTATCCTCCCTCGTAGTCCACACATTCCCCAAATATCCCGCTTTTAGCATACGCAAACACAAAAAAGGTATAATTGTCACAAAAAGCTTACGTCGAGTAAAGTCATTTTACCTTCGTAGATATGAGTAATAATTTACGGGACATAGTAGCGCAGTGAAGTTACTGAAAGGAAGGAAATGCCACTGGATTTTATATTATGAGAATCGAATTGTATATATTTACAATAGGAGTACAGTAAATCACTCCACGTATTGAACTTAAATAGCCTATTTACAATAAGAGCGCGCTGCCATTACTATTGCTATCATGCGGCCGATATGGGTTACCAAACTTTCAGTAAGATCCACACCCTTCCTGAAATGTCTCTTACCCCCTTAGGTCTTTCTCAGCCTGGTCAAATAAAGCCTGGGCGATGGCAAAAGCAGGAACGCTGTCAATTGATTAGTAGATAGGCGTGCTGTAAGCATCGAAGTCGTAAATCCAGCTGTCCCACGAAGCTTGGTCATAAACACAGTCGAAAGATGTACCATTGTTCGACCACAGTGGACGCAGAGGCCATTTGCAAAGAGTGGGAGCGGCAGTGCCAGTGTTGTTGAGAGTTGTCGGTGCGATACCGTTCTCGACCCATTCGATCATAGTTTGTAGGGTTGTTGCGGGCCATCCGCCATCTGGTTGTTCGGTGTTTACTCCGCAGTGAGCACCACCGGGAACAAGGAAGAGGCGGTAAAAGTCATCCATGGTCTCTGTGCTAGAGTTGAAAGTCATGTTGGGAAACATGACGTTACGGACGGATTCATAGTAGTGGATCGATGAAGCAGTAGGGATGGAAGGGTCCTGTTCGCCATGAACATGGATGACCTTACCACCAGCATTCGCAAAAGCGCTAACATCAGGCTCAGTGGTCTGCAATGAGTCGCCATACTTCTGCATCCCATAGATCATCCACTCCTTCAGGGTATCGTAGGTAACGTTCTCCAGGGTGCTCAGATTATCAACTTCCTGGAGCTGAAGAAATTGTGCGACCCACTGACCGCCAAGGCCTGTGATGGAAACCTCCCATTCCCCAGTCTCCGAGTTGTATGTAGTATCTGCGTCACCAAACTCGGCACCAGTTTGGTAATATATGTAGGCGCGCTTTCCGTTAGAGTCATGAAGCCCATCCCAGAGTGTTTGGGCCAGCACAGCAGCTTCAGCCGTGACAGTTCCATTTTGTTCAGGGTTGGTACTCGTACTGCCAACCCGACGTTTACCTGGAACAAAAGAACTACCTGATGATGCAGCGCAGTAGTGAGACTCGCCGATGGTGCTATTCACGTTGAATTGTAGCTTGCACAGATCTGATCGCGAGACAACACCATCAGTCTTCCCATCCAGGGGATCGCAGAAAGCTATGGTCAAGTTTAGAATCTTCTCCATTTCACAACTCGATGGGTAATAACCCAGAGTCTGCTCAGTCACACCCGCAGTTAAGTGGTTGACCTGCTGCTGACCGTAGCGAAGGGCTGGCGCACCATTTGTAACACCATCAAAGAGATCAGCGAAGCGCTGAAGCTGACTCCAACCTTCGCGGCCACCCTCAGAACATGCCTGGTAGTAAGAATAAACCTTATCAGAAACATTGAAGAAGTTCTTGGTAAACTCCTTTCCCAATGTTGCGAGTTCCCAGTGAGCTGGGTAGCCCATCATATAGACTGACTGCCAATTGATAGTGTCATTAGCAAGGAGGAAGACCTCATCCCAAGACGAATCGAAGGTACCGAAACCACCGTCGGTATAACCCGAAACGGCACCAACTATAACACCAGTAGGGTTCGAGACCGCACCCTAAATATTGATACATAAATCAACGACTTTTCTCCATGAAATTTATCTTGAAAAACTTACAGCGTTGATAGAAAGACCACTGCCACCGGTCGTGACATATCGATTCTGGAATTTATCTGGTTCAGGAACCCAAAAGGAGACGTGAACCAAATCATCCGCGATACCGTTGTGCGAATAGGCAATTGTGACGTTACAGTACGAAATGGCCTCGGTAATGTACCAATCGTTTGAAGCCGTAGAGTTGGTAATGATGGCTGTGGTGACTGAAGACGCTTCGATAGTAATGCCAGGCAAGAAGTCAGCTGTAGGGATTGCCTCGCTCGCGTAAGCTGTGGTACAGACATCGCTTAGCGAAAGCGCTTGGGCGGCACCTGCGATGCTGAGAGTAGCAACCGCGACCCGGTGAACGGAAAACATGGCAGACTCGGGAAGTTTTCAAGATCAATTGCGGAGAAATAAGATAGATGATAATGAACTTAAGAGATCGTTTTTTGATAGAATGGCTAAGCCTAATGCAAGAGAGGTAAATGGTGTAGTGAGGACCTATATATGCTTCCTTTATTGTGCTATTAAGATTAGTAAGTTGAAGTGAAGAGGTCCATTTCTGTAGAACTCTGCTTTTTGTGTGATACGTAATCGCGAGAAAGGTAATAATCTAGAGTGGATTGTTATTCGCAGTGTCCCTTACGTATGCCTACAGCATAAGGACCCCTGTACGGAGGTTACAGTGATTTTAGAAAAAAATCATAGGCTTTTTCAAGATATCAATGCTTCAAGGTCTCCATGTAGGTACAGGCAGTGAGTGAAGATCTCTGATCTAAATCAGACTACCGACATTACCCCAACCATGTGCCGTGGAGAACCTGTATTGCTTGGTGCCAGTAACCCTCTGATCTTCAATCTTGCTACCTTTGCTTCCTCTTGATTTCGACGTGCAATGATGAGAATAGAGCCATGCCGCGCAATCTTAACCAAATGGACATGCATCAGCACACCTCCTTCATCTTTGCGGTGCGGTGAGCTCTCTATATCTATTTATATGTCATTCATATCGTTATACAAATGGCACACATGAGTGGCTGGCTTTCTCCTCTTTTGGAAATCCACAACCCATTCTTTCTGATTCTTTCTTTCTCCGTCAAAATCGCGGTTCTTAGCCATGCCGTACCTTCTGCATTCCCTGGTCCCGATTGCGGCTCTGCTATGCACAGCAAGCGCCGCGCTGTACGATCAAAAGATCACAACTAGCTATGGTCCAGTGCAAGGCTACGCTGCTTTCAACAGCAGCCCTACTGGGTTCAATCTGGAGCACTGGAAAGACATTGCCGTCTGGAAAGGAATTCCTTTTGCTGCTACCACAGGAGGAAACAATCGCTTCAAAGCCCCCCAGCCAGTCACACAATGGAATACGACTTTTGCTGCCAAAGATTTTGGTCCTGTCTGCCCCCAGACATTCCGAGCCGTGCCTGATGGCTACACAGACTCTGAAGACTGCTTGAGCCTAAACATTTGGAGTGCCGCCAATTCGACGGATGCGAAGCTGCCCGTTGTCATGTGGAGTTATCCAGCTATGTCGAGTGCTCGCGACGGTCTTTTCGATGGCGGAGGCATGGCTGATAAAGGCGTCGTTTTTGTTAATTATAATTACCGGAACGGTATTTTTGGCTGGCTTGCACACCCCTGGCTCTCAGCCGAGATGAACGAAACGCACCATACAAATAGCTCTGGTAACTGGGCAATTCTCGATCAGAATGCTGCTCTTAACTGGATTGTTGAGAATATTGCGGCGTTCGGAGGAGATCCTGAACATATTACAGTGATGGGCCAGTCAGCCGGTTCGGCCGCCACCTACCATATTGTGAATAGCCCGTTGACCAAGGGACTCATCGTTGGCGCCATAATCGAATCTGGTGTTCGCGACCCTAAAGACCCTTTGAGTTCCAGCCTTGCCGAGAACTACCGTAGTCTCGACGTGGCCCTGGAAAACGGCGTGAACTATGTGTCGGATTATAATGTCACCTCACTTGCGGAGCTCCGTGCGTTGAACTACTCTACCTTCGCCCAGGCAGATGATTTCGGAGCGGTTCTGGATTACTACGCTGTGCCGGATACATACATGAACACCCTGATTAATGGAGCAGCCAACGATGTGCCCATTATGACTGGAAACACCAGAGATGAAAGCGGTGCGACATACGGCCTTAATATCACCCTCGCTACCTACTTAGCAGACATGAACACCACCTTTGGCGACTGGACAGACGAGTTCTTGACTATTTACAGTGCGAATGATAGTACCTCAGCTTCGGCGGCATACAATCGGCAGTGGTCAGACCGCTCCGCCGTGGGTACCTGGTTATGGTCGCAGCTGTGGGCTACGGCTTCCGACAAGCCGGTGTACAACTACTTCTGGGATCATGCGCCGCCTGGACAAACCCAGGGTGCTTATCACGAATCTGAGATCAATTACGTGCTTAACAACCTGTACGACACAGATTTGCCCTGGGTTGCGGAAGACTACGAGATCGCC